ACTCAGTAATCTCTATGTCAATATCTACTAATTCTTATAGGCTCCCAGGATTAGCTAAGCTACCGCAAAGCTATAATGGAAACAAACGCATGACATGGGACACGTTTACTTGGGCTATGTATCACTGATACGGACTTTAGTCATTAAAACACAAGGAAGGGTTTGTTAAAAAACCCTATTGGAACTATTGATTGCTGACTGACCGAAGACCCACTGCACTCACGACCCCACTTGCTCCCTACGCGACAAGTATCACGGCCGCACCTTCGAATCTGTCTGAGTACGTGTGAGTTCACTTTGTTCAGCCATGACAGACTTGTGCACTCCTCATATCCATCTCATATCCTTAAGATTTCAGAATTTGCTTACTATTCCCTGAGCAAATTCAAATCAACGTTGACTGAAGCTTATTCAGAAGTTTTGAAGTTAAATTTATTGGTCCAAATATTCCTCCCAGCAGTCATGATTGAAGCGTGATGATATAAGGTAATATGATTTTAATTAAGTTGAACTCATTAGATTGCGTGCAAGACAAACTCTTGTTGTCTTAACTAATCACTATGTAATTTAATTTGAAAAAATAATAACTGAAGCCTGAAATTTCGTTGATGTATCAGTTCTAAGCATTGTAGAAAGAGAAGTGAAATTAGTTATGCCTTTATTTATGACTGTTTTAAACAAAGAAATTCTTCTTGGTTGCTTTCACTATTGACAATACTGGTGAGCAAGGAGCAATGAACGGGAATGACTGGGAGACAAAATTTTAACTAGCGCCTTGAGCAAACTGAAAATACGGATTTATCTGTTCAAATGATTTTGCGGAATTTGATATCAGATAAATTGATGTGGTTGTAGAAGTTTTCAAGCCAATCAATGGTCGAAACATGCGTAGTTCCAGTTGCAAGAAATGTTATCTAACAATATATTTATTATAACTGGTTTGTAAAATTTAAATTTAATAATACCTACGAATGAAAACATGGTTTTGGTCGAATGGAAACTTTAAACTAAAGAGAATGAATTACATTTTTGTCATTAATTCATTTTTATTCTATATTTCATCATTTCCCGAGAGTGGGTGCTAAAAAAGTATCTTTGAGTATTGTGTTAGAGATTTTAGTATAATTGTCCAAACCCCAGAGGATGAACAGAGTTTTAATGAGGCAAAACAGACAACCTGACATTTAGTACCCAAATTTAGAAATGCTTTGTAAGCTTAAATTTGTTTTTTAAGATTGGTATTGGACGGAGAAGATTGGGCCAATCATACCCCTTCCCAGTTCAATCTAGTAGAATCTCACCAGTCGTACAACGTACCTATCGACAAATTAATTATTTTAGTTTAAGTGTTCGTGGCTACCTCTTATTGCAATTAAATTGGAACTTATAAATTAGTTGACAATTATTTTCCGAAAGATTAATAGTAGTCAAAATCTAGCTGTTGATTCCATGCTTATAATATTTTTTGTATGACTGTGTAGCTCATAACGTGTGGCCCATTTAAAAGCTCTAGGTTAGCAGAGAAACGAAATTCAAAAGAAAAATTATACAAACAAGTGTGCTTTACAATTTTAAAGGTAGATTGGGATGCCACTTTCCTCATATCTTTCCAAAAATATCATTTAGGGCCTTGTGGTATTAAAAAACATTCATAAATTCATTTGAACACCTGGTAATGCCGATACTATGATTTCCCGTTAGTCCGGCCTTACATGATTTGATAAAGTTGCTATTTATTATTATGTCTGTTTAAAATTTCGATGAAAAAGGTCTTTATTAGGTTTTATTCGTGGTCAGGTTTAGAGCGCACGAAATAGCCAAGGGGGTGTCAAGGCACGAATCAGAGGATCAAATTGAATAATGTCAGGATTGAAGCGAAAAGTTTTTTACTTCCCCACAGCGGGATAAATTTTAAAGCACGAATTTTATTACCCGATTCGTGGGGGTCTTTGGGAGTTCATGTTGACCGAGCAATTTAATTGAAATTCGTTTATCTTCAATAATTTTCCCTCGTTAAAATTAATCCTTTTCGCTAAATCTTAGCTAATATATATTTTTCTGATACATATTAGCAATGATAAAGTTATGCTTTTACGTATAATAGGTTTATTTTGCTCTGTTGAATCGCTTGGAGGTCATATTTCTACTCCGTACATGATATGACCGGGATACGGTTGATTCAGACCCTGAGAGAATTTTATGAAGGGGTGCAATAACTTTATAAACTAAATAAAGCTTAACTTAAGAGAAAAAATAGCCTTCATATTAGGCCTCCAGACAAAAATTATTTTTTTGGTCCAAAGAACTCCTAGATTGCAAAGATCATAGTGCGTCTGAGTACCAATGATTTGATAGAGCAGTTAGAGAGAAACCATGGAAATTGATAATTCTGTCCAAAACACATCAACTTTAGATGAGAGTAATTTAATAAAGGTTGGAGGAAAATATCATTTTCTCAAATAGTATGACTGAGAATTTCGGCTGCATTGTTAGAGTTAGTTAACTTTTTAATAAGCGAATTACAAATCAGCTGAAATTTGCATTTCTACGAATGCTAACAAACTTGGCTTACTAACGGCTTTAAAAAATCAACCGAACTTCCTTTGAAAGAGAGAAATGATTCCAGACTACCTGCATAAATTTCGGCTGAAGCGTTTGAATTAATTTGACGACGAGAACTACCACGGAGAATGTTCAATTTGAATTTATACCTTACTAAGCGCTAAATCTAGGCTTTTCCAATTTATCAGAAGACTGATTTAATTTAATATCAACGTAGTGAATGGATAGAAATTTTCAAGCCACAAATGATTTTTCTAACGTAATCGCTAAAATACTCGTTATATATATATATATATATATATAAATTAGATTACGTAGTGGTGAACACAAAAAGGTATTTGTAGTCCAATCTACCTGTGTATTTGAGCAGAAGTTACTTTGTACAATTTTATAAAGTTAACTGAGGATATTGTAAATAATCATTCAATTAAACTTAATAATTAATTTTTCATTTTTAATTAATTTTAAGAAATGCAATACATCTTAGTGATAACTACTTGTATTGAAATCATTATTGAAAATAGCAAAGCATTATCATCAACAACATCATTAATGATCAAATAATAAAAAAGGCATTAAGATCAAGGCAACATTTCGTACATTATTAAAAAGTCAAAATTGGGGAGGATTCGAGTTGATTTGAATTGCCCTGGCTGCAAATCGCAGCTTGTGACAGCTACAAATTTGAATGTACGCAAACGAAAATGTTACCTTAAAGACCATCATGAAAATTTTTTCATGTGTCCACTTCAATTTGTTCTAATTTCGTTTGCATTTGATAGAATTTTTCCTGAAAAATGTCCCCATTTCCATCGACCGAACTATTGGATTGGCGTGACGAAGATAAATAATGTTCAAGGCCGTGCCTTGGCATTTATAATTTATCTCCCAGTTTAACTTTAAACAGTATTAATCCTTATTGGAATAAGTTTATAATTTCACCAAATATTATCCCTACATGGGTTTCAATCATAATCTATTTTTGTTACTACAAAAGGCTTAAAAAGATCCTTTTATGCTCTTATCATTTCCCACATTACAACACAGATTTTCACAAACCAGAGGCTGGTTTTTGTCTTTTCATATTTTTCTAAAGAAGTGAATAATTTTCTCTCTGGGATCCAATAAATTATTTTTCATAGCTGATATTTGTAATTTTCCTACAAAACAATCGCTGCTACATTGGTTGAACTTTCAATACACCGGCACAACAGTCAAAAATTCCTTTGTAATAAAATACAGAAACTCTTTCAATTAAGACCTGGCTGCTTCTCTTAAAACTATTAGAAAGTTTCCTTGAATTGACTATGAAGATTATTTAAATTTTAAGAATAAAGTCAAGCTTATGTTAACATTTCCTTGTGGGTTACCATAGAGTGAAAAAGATAAAAAAATCATTGAACTTCCAAACTAGAATGCATATGAAGCAACTTTAAAGAGAGCAGATCTTAAAATATGTCCTAATGCGATCAGATATCCACTTTCCATCCTTCTTGACTCTTCACTAGATGTTCAGATGATATTACTATATTGCAATATTTCAGATTTCCTTTAGACATAATAAAAACTTAGCATACTCTCTTTTCATTAGTTCCTCCTCCTGTTCAAAAGATCACTTTATATGCCTTGCATTTTAGTAAATTATTTTCTAACGGTAGCTTTTAAGCCACCGTAGGATAGACTTAGCTGACTAAGTCAAGTGGTTTAATTAACCTGTTCGCGTATTAATGAAATTACATTTACTATCTTACTGGGTCCACAAAGTCGACGCATAAAGTATGGCGATATTCCCCGATTGACCAATGGGAACAGTACGCTCATGAATTCTTAAAAATTACATTAATTTACACTATATTCCCTCTGTTATTCCACTTCTAGATGTTCCGTGCAATGTTCTAATACTGTACCATTTCCCTAATACATCCCGCGAGACCATAAGACTCTATTTGGTAAAATCTGTTCTTTGAATATACAAATAATACGATAAATTTAGTCTACTTAGAAGCGGAAAATGCGTAATTTAAGTTTGAGCGTCTTTGGTCGAATTATTCCTCTAAAATAGACCGTCTTTACTCGAGATAAGAATTATTCTTGCTATCCTGCTTGATCATCAAATGTGAACTGATTATATGCAGCTAAATGCTTCTCGATCGTATTTGAGTAATGAGATAAATTCAGTGTTTGGGGGTTGGGGAGGGGGGGGGTTGCAGAAGTGTAAGTCGTTCCAGAGGCAATTTTGATGTCACTTTAATGCATGCTTAAAGTCGTGATATAATATTCTGTTTATAATAACTATCTTATCATCAAACCCTTGGAAAGCATTTCACCCCAAAGAACAAAAGTATGATTGGAAAATATTGTGCTTTTGTGTTCAATCAAAGATTCGAGTATCACATTTTAAAATTCTTGTTTAGAGCAGAATCAGGATCGTCTGTTTATTACATACTCTCAACATGTTTCTCATTCAATGTCTCCTCTTCATCACCTTGAGAATTGAGGGACACTTCAGCTTGAACCTGTGTAGAGAAAAGGCAGATCTTTAGTTAGTGCATCAAGATGAGAAACAACTTAAGATTACCAGCTTCAGAGACACCTAAACTTAATCATTTCTATGACTGAATAGCAGGTATGTGTAATGCTATGGGACTAATGATTCAGAAATGAAAAAAATGAAAACACGTTTGAAAAACTTAACTCACCACTTTTTGTGCTCGTTGGCGTCTGAGATCATCTTTCATGAAACCTGAAATTCAATAATAATGCGAAGGGTTAGTTTGTTTTTCCGTTTTTCAATCTGAATACATTATACCAAAAGTAATCTTCAAAATACCATAACTCGGAAGTTAGTTCATTCTTCACCTCCTCATTAGCTTTCAGATAATATCATTTATTCTTGTTGCCTATCTGACTGAAAATTCCGGAAAATATTCAACTTTATGGTGACGGTCGTCATCGCTCACGGGGGAAAGAAGTTAGAAATGATCCAAAATGACCACCTGATCTCACCATTTGCACACTTTACGCATTTGGGTCTCAATTCCCACCTTTCAGATTTCCTCGGGGCTTTCTCCACTTTCAAGCTCTCTTCCCATAACTCAATTTCGCTTATCGAACCTCGGCCTAGAGCTTGCAATCACGTTTGTAAATTTGCCGTGTTGGCACCTCTTCCATACTCTGCGAATACTCAATATCAACTTCTCACCTCTAATCCCATTCCATTTTTATCTCTTGTGGTATTTAAACAAGCCTCTAGCCTCCATTAAATCCTGGACTCCTGATTAAGAAAATGACGATTGACTTTTGATTGGTTTAAAATTACAAATTAATTTATGTTTGGGGTTACGGACTTATTCTCCTTTAGCAGGTATTTTGAAATGAAGGTATTTTTATAAAGATGTGATTCTTAAAGATAAAATGCTTTTCAGAAATAGGATATAAAATTAACGATTCCGCAGTGACTGGTTCAGTTTAGTCCTATTGAAATTGACGTTCATTTAGTAAGAACCCTAGTTCCTATACATCTTATTTTTTATGCAAACATATGTATTTGTGATCTCTTCACTATCTACAACAGGCCCTTATGAGGTTAGGTTACACTGGCTTCTGCACTTCTCTCAGATCTAAAATTAGTGACTTTTTATATTGTTTCTCGTCCAGACCAGGAGGAAATCTAATTCATTGTGGACGCGGAGGTCCTGATTCGTAAGGTATAAATCTGATTTGGCAAAATTTTAGCTTTTTTATTCATTATATATTGTAAAGAGGCACAAATTTTACCTTATTTCAACAGCTATTTAGAATCGTCAATTATTGATAACAAACTTGATAAATATTTAAAATTGCTACTTTATTTCCATTTTATTAACCAATTTCCATTTTGGCTCCCTCACTTAGGCCCTGGGTAATTAAGATGAAGAAAAGCCCGATGAGACAAAAGATAGGTCCTTCAACTTAACGCAGACTAATACGTTCTGTGTGGATATTTGAAAAAGTTTAAATATGTTGACCAGGATGTCGGAAATCAAGATACTAATGAGTAACATTTGCTGAGTACAGATGGATGAATGGAAAAGAAAATTCAAAAGCGTCGTATAATGTCTTCCAACTTACAAGCCGGAACAGCAGCTACCACCATGCAGACGAGAATGAAGATGTTCGTTGGAAGTACACCAAAACTATCGTGCATCGCCGTGGCCAAATGCGTTAAGACAATTCCAAATATCTGCAAGTAAAGGAATAAATCGATCCAATCATCAAGTGTAAATCTCATTCTAGAGTGGGAACATTAACATATTTGAATGCCAAATTTTTCGGACAATTTATTTATTTCAAATGGAAGGCTTTATGATATTTATCA